GGGGGGGCAACCTGCATCCCCCGTCGCGGCCTGGAAAGGAACATTCCCCCGCCCACGCCCTCCCCCGGCCTCAGTTTCCCCTGTGAGATCCAGCGAGGGTGATGGCGTCTGCGTCTCCCGTCTCCGGGATTAGCCCGAAGCGGGGATGCGCCCGGAGTCTGGCTTCCTGCCTCTCCTCCAGGGCTCGCCATGCTCGTCCCCGGGGCCGGCCGGGGGCGCGGGGATGGGCGCGGTGGCGAGCGAGCTCGGGGAGGCCCGGCTGGACCTCAGGGGCGGGCCCGTGGGGAGCGTCCGCCCTCGGCTCCGGTCCCCGCCTACCCCCGCGAGTCCACCTCTCTTCCCCTTCGGCCTCCTGCCATCTTTTCTGGTCTCCTGTCACGGTCCCTGCGCTCCTGCCCCCTCCCCCTACAGCCGGAACTCATTTCCCGACCTACTTACGCGCGCCCCCTCCCCCAGAGGATACCCGGGAGCCGGGCCGTTCTCGGACCGCGGCGCTGAGAACACCTGGGTGTCGCCAGTGCCCACCGCCCCCCGTCTCTGGGCCTCTTTACCCCGCTGTCGAGTGGGGTTAAACCCGAAAGCGTCGGGGACGCGGGAGCCTGTGTACAGGTTCCCTCTTTCCTCTGGGGAAGGGCCGAACGCACGCCCTGCCTACTGAGCGCTGCTGGTCATCCCGGCCCGGACTCTGCTCCCTGAGATCCCGGAGCGCAGTCCCCGGTCCTTCCCACCGGGAGGAGCTGGCGTTGGGGAGGGCCGTCAGGTGCAACATGCGAGCAGTCCCTTTGCCGAGCGCTGAGCTCCCGTCCCCGGCCTCCGTTTACTCCTAGCGCCAGGCAGAGGTGGAGGCTGGCCTGCTCGCCCGCCGAGGCGCCGGGCCCCGCGCTGGGCACCGGCGGGGAGGCCGCTGCAGCAGCCATCTTGCCGCCCAGGACCGGCTCAAGCCGCCCTGCAGGAGGCCTCCCTCCCCCGCGCCCCCTCCTCTCCCCAGTGCTCCCTGGCAACCCCCCCCCCCACTTCCCCCTCCCCGCTCGGCCCGCTGGCTCAGTCGCCATGGGAACCAGATTCTTCAGGGCTGGGAACACATGCGCCTTCTTTGGCCTTTTCGCTCCCCCTAGCACCGGGTGGGGGGTGGGGGGGGACAGCTACCTCCGGGAGTCGTGACTTGGTAGTCCCTGAGCTCCGTGCCTCCGCCCCCCTCCACGGTCCCTGTACCGCTACCGCGGAACCAGCCTCTTGCGCTGGGGCAGCCCCTTCCTCTCCCGTGAGGGGGCAGGCAGGGCTCCTGGGTCTCGCGGGAGCGAGCTGACATCCTCAGTTTCCCTATTCCTCCTCGGAGTGCTTCCCCTTTTCCGGGCCGGCCCCACCGGCTGGGGAGGAGGTGGAGAGCAGACGCCTCCCCCGTTTTGAGCAGGGGGAAACGGAGGTCCCGGCGTCGATCTAAGCGGGGTGGGGGCTGCCCCGGGGCCCTCCTCCACCTCTCCGTGAGTCACCGCCCCCCTGTGGACTCTCACTCCCACTCCCTCGCTCTGGGAGCCGGGAGGGAGAGCAGGCGGAGGAGCTGGTCTGAGCACGCCCTGCCCCCCCCCCCACCCCCCGCCCCTCCTCCTAGCTTCAAGATGCAGCCCACGCCCACCATGGCCACCGCCGCCGCAAGCACCGCCGCCACGGCTGCCCTGACCTCGAGGTGGGACAACACCACCAGCAGCCCCACCGTGAGTGAGGGGGCCCGGAGTGGGGCTGCTGGGCGGGGCGGGCCGGGCCTCCGGAGGTCCTGACCCCTGCCGGCCCACAGGCGGAGCCTGACCCCATCCTCAACAACTACGTGCTGCTGGTGGTGGTCCTGTCGCTCTTTGTCGGTGGCACTCTCGTGGTGCTGTCCGGAGTCCTGCTCCTGTGCAGGCGCTGCTGGGAGGTCCACCGGCGCTTCAACAGGTGTGCAGCCCACCCAGCCGTGGGGCCCCCCTGGGAGCGCCAGCGGGGGGTTGGAGAGGAGAGGGGGCGCGCGCGCGCGCTTGCTTGGTTGCTTGCTTGCTCTGCGGGCATCCGGGGGCCTGTGTGGGGCCGGGTGAGGGCGGGGTGCCTGGGCTGCGGCTTGGCCGGAGGAGCTCGGGCAGCACGGTCTGCCTGCCCCGTCCCACCTTGGGGCCCCCTGCGGTCTCTCCCCAGAGCCATGGAGGAAGCAGAGAAGACCACCACCACGTACCTGGACAGCAGCGCCCATCCAGCCCAAGGTGCGGCGCCCCGCCAGGCTCTGACCCCTGCCCACCTGCCCGCCCTCCTGCCCGCCCCCTTGGGCCGCCTGACCGGCTGTGTCTGTCTGTCTCCCCCACCAGACTGGGCGCAGCTCGATTCCGACTCATCTCTGTTTCCTTAGAGCCCGCGTAGGTGCTCACAGGCGCGTGCTGAGCGAGTGAGTGTGTGAGCGGATGTGTGAGTGCCCACCTCGCCCCTGCCCCGTCCCAGCGCTCAGTCGGGCCCCACCCCTCGACGCTTCCCCCACCCACCCCCCAGCCAGTCGCCGGTCCAGCACCAGGCGAGGCCCGCCCGGGGCCCACCCTCTCGGCTCTCCTCGCAGACCCTGACTTCAGGGGGGAGGACCCCGAGGGCCAGGACGCGGAGACGGAGCGCTTCCTGTCCACCAGCTCCACGGGCCGCCGGGTGTCCTTCAACGAAGCAGCCCTGTTTGAGCAGAGTCGGAAGTCACAGGACAAGGGGCGCCGGTAAGGAGCGGCGCAGCACGAAGGGACCCAGTCCCTGGGGAGGGGTGGGAGCCTGATGCCCTGTGATTGGGCTCCCTGGGAGTCGGGTCCTGCCTTCCACCCCCGACCCCAAACCAACAGGGACGGCAGCAGGGGCGGGCTCGGGGGTTCGGGCTGAGCACGGGGGCCGGCTGGCGTGGTGACGGGCAGGCGTGCTGGGCACAGGTACACCCTGACGGAGGGGGACTTCCACCACCTGAAGAACGCCCGCCTCACCCACCTGCACCTGCCACCCCTCAAGATCATCACCATCCACGAGTGCGACTTGGGTGAAGCCAGCGCCACCACCCCCCCACACGCCGCTGCCGCCCCCAAGGCCAGTCTCGCCATATTCCAGGTGAGCGTGCGGGCGGCCGCCAGCCTGGTGCTCAGCGGGCGGGACACCCACCCTCTGGGCTGGGCCCCGCACCTCAGGACAGGGAGGGGGCGCCTGGCTGGGGTGCACAGAGGGCTGTGGGTCCAGAGCTCCCCCTCACGCACCCGTGCTCTTTGACCTGTTACTGCTTCCTCCCCCAGCCCCCGGGGAAGGCCCTCACCGGCCGCTCTGTGGGCCCCAGCTCCGCCCTGCCAGGTGACCCCTACAACTCGGCCGCGGGCCCTGCCGACTTCGAGATCAGCCCCTTGGCGTCCAGCGACTCCGGGGAAGGCGCCTGGGTGAGGGCCCCCGAGCGGCCCCTCCCCTCCCTGCCCCACTCCAGGACCGAGGTCAGCCTGTGGCCTCCCCCTCCCTTGCTCCTGCCCGGTCCCCCTGCGTGGGAGGGAGAGGGGCCGGCAGGGCGTAGAACACACGCGTGGGGCACTCGTCAGACCAGGGACGCGTGCCCTCGGACACTCGTCCTCAGGAGCCCGTCTGTCCGGGGCTGGGGACCACAGAGCTGCCCGGCGCCTGGCTGAACCCCTGAGCTTAGTCCCGCTGCCACCCACCCGCTGAGAGCTGTGTGTTCCCTCTCTGCACTGGGGGTGGGGAGGGGGGAGCGCAGAGCTGCGGCCCAGGCTGGGGCAGCACTGGGAGGGTCTTTGTGCCTGACCGCCTCCCTCCTTCCTTCCAGGCGGATGCAGGTGCCCGGAGCACCAAGCCCGTCGGGTCAGGGGCCACAGGGGGACCCGAGGAGGCAGGTCCAGGCTCCGGGGCAGGACCCGTCCTGCATTTCTTCACCCGCCTGCGGCGCCACACCAGCCTGGACGGGGCCAGCCCGTACTTCAAGGTCAAGAAATGGAAGCTGGACCCCAGCCAGCGGGCATCTAGTCTGGACACAAGAGGTGAGCGGCGGCCCTGGGTAGAGACCAGGGCCCGGAGAGTACAGCCCCAGGCAGCCTTACGGAGCGAGGTTCTGCACAGGGAGAGGTCACTGCTCCCCAGGGGCCTCGGGCTCCTGCCCCGGGCTGGCCAGCACCACCCCTTGGCCACTGGGCATCTTGCCCCAGGGCTTACAGCTGGTTGGGCCGTGCGCTCTGGTCCAGTAAAGCAGGGGCACCGTCAGACCACAGCAGAGATGGGTGAGCTTTTAATGCAAGCTACGAGACCGTAGCGGTTTTCGATCCGTGGTCTGTCTGGCGGGGCAGTGTGGGAGCAGCCACAGACCGCGTGTCTAAGCGAACGCAGGGACGGGCCGGTGCGAAACGGTGTTCAGGATGATAGGTCATGGGCCCATCTGGCCTGCGAGCCGTAGCGCACCCACCCCTGAACTAACGCGGCAGCTCTTCCCTCCTGTAGACCTCTGGTCACGTGGAGCCCTGGCTATAGGGCCTTCTTATCCTCAGCCCAGAGCAGGAGCACGTGTCGGGGGTGGGGAGGTGGCCACCCTGAACGGCGGGTACCAACAGGCCCGTGCCCAAGGGAGCTGAGCCGGGACAGGACGGGACAGGCGGTTCTGTGGAGGTGGGGGGTCCTGGGGTCAAGAGAGCTAAGGAGAGAGGGTCAAGAGAGCCTCGTCGGGGCCTGGTGCCAGCTGGCGCCGCAGGGGAAGGAGGAGTGAGTTCTGGCCGAGGCGCTCCTGGGCGGGGAAGGCGGCCTACTGTACTGCCGTCGGGAGCTGAGACGGAGCCCGTGGTCCCCGAGGGTGATTAGAGCCAGGCGTAGGTGTGCGAGTGCCTGGGGCCTGTTTGCCGGCTGACTGTCCCCCGCCCTTTCCCACCGGAGCTTCGCCTAGGCCCTCCAGGGGGCCCGTGGGTGGAGGTCGAGCTGGCAGAAGAGGCCTCCCCTCTGTTCCCCTCAGTGGCCCCCGCCAGCCTGTCCCTCATCCTCCCACGTGTCCCGGCTTCTGCCTCTTAGCTCAGCGGCGCTCGCCTCCAGGTGCCCAGTGCAGACCTGCTCCGGCCACGCTCTCGTGGCCGGAGCTGCTTGGGGGTCCCGCTACCGCCGCGGCACCTCAGCGCACCCCTGACCCAGGCGGCTCCTTGCGGCCCGGGGCCGGGAGGGACTCGGGCAGGCTGACGCGCCTTCCTCTGCACAGGCTCCCCCAAGCGGCACCACTTCCAGCGGCAGCGGGCAGCCAGCGAGAGCACCGAGCAGGAGGAGGGGGACGCCCCCCACGTGGACTTCATCCAGTACATCGCCAGCGCAGGCGACACGGTGGCCTTCCCGCCCCCCCGTCCCTTTCTGGCCAGCCCCGCCAGCCCATCCCCCGCTCTCGGCAGGTATTTTGTAGTGGATAGCAGCGTCAGGGGTGGACCTGTGGGCCCCTGCCCCACCCAGTCCCCCGCTAAGTGGCCCGGGGAGGGCTTTCCCCACCCTGCAGACATATCACATTCTTCCAGCTCCATCGTCCCTCCTGGAGACTGCCTCACTGGGGCCACCTCTCCAGCAAGGACCAGAAGAGGGAAACTGGGGGAGACTGGGTAAGGGCAGAGGGGCAGGTGGGGCCCTGGACGATGGCCACAGGGTCCCCAGGACAGGACGCCTGCCCAGGCAGGGCTGCCAGGGGCGGGTGCCTGCTTGGATGTTACTGCTTCCTGCTAGAGTCCACGGCCCCGAGGGGTCCACTGTGGCCTGGTGCCCCTTCCTTCCTGCCCGTGTTCCTGAAGGCTGGACGGCCCCTTCTCAGAAATTGTGGCTACTTCTGCCAGCAGCACCCCCTCCCCCAGCCCCACAGACGGAGGTACTGGGGTGGTGAAGCTGCCTGAGTAGTCCCGCTGGGGAGTAGGGGCCGAGCTGGACTCCCGCCTGGCCCCGTCCATCCCCGCCACTTCCTTCTCCGCTGAGGTGTTAGGAAGAGGGGAGCGCCACAGGGGAATGTTAACTCTGTGGGTGAGGCGCCAGCCACCTGCAACGCCAGCAGGTGCTTGGGTCAGATACTAGGGGAAAAAAAAAAAACAAACAAAAAAACGCCACGATTGAAGGGCAGGTGCCAGGAAGGCTTGGGGTTTATCCAGAAACCACCCCCTGTAACAGGGACCGCCAGCATTTTCTTAAAATCCGCTCTCCGCAGAGCCTGGCCGAGCCTAGGGGGTCCCCACCGGCGCCCACCCTTCCGGACCCAGAGGCAGGGTGGCTGGGGAGAACACGGAGGGGCGCACACAGCCTTCTTGACTGCTGCGGCCTGGCTTGCAGGCTAGAGGCAGCGGAGGAGGCGGGCGCCGCGGGAGGAGCGAGCCCCGAGTCTCCCCCCGAGCGCAGTGGTGGTGCGGGGCCTGAGCAGCAGCAGGAATCTGATGGTGAGCGGGACTCGGGGCCAGAGCAGGCCCAGACCACCTACCGGGATATCTGGAGCTTGCGAGCCTCTCTCGAGCTGCACGCGGCTGCCGCCTCGGACCACAGCAGCAGTGGCAACGACCGCGACTCGGTGCGCAGCGGCGACAGCTCGGGCTCGGGCTCCGGGACCACCGTGCCCACTTTCCCACCGCCCTCGCCGCCCCCCACCCCCCGGCCGGCAGACAGCGAGGCGGGAGGTCCGCGAAAGCTGTTGCAGATGGACAGCGGCTACGCCAGCATTGAGGGCCGCGGCGCCGGCGAGGACGGGCTCCTCAGCGCGTCCGAGAAGCGCTCCTCCTTCACCAGCGCCGGCCGCACGGCCACTGTGGGCACCAGCTTCGAGGGGGCGCCGGCGCCCACCGAGGCGCCCGTCCGGCCCCGCAGCCCGCGCGCCTGGCCCCGCCGCGCCCCGCGCCGCGACTACAGCATTGACGAGAAGACAGACGCACTCTTCCACGAGTTCCTGCGCCACGACCCGCACTTCGACGACACGCTGCCCAGCGCCACGCGCCATCGCGTGCGCGCGCACCCCCACACGCGCAAGCAGTGGCAGCAGCGCGGCCGGCAGCACAGCGACCCCGGCGCGCGCGCCACGACCCCTGCCCCGCCCGCGGCCCCGTTCGGGGCCGACTCCCGCCCCACGCGCGCGCCTCTGCGCCGAGGCGACAGCGTCGACTGCCCCCCAGAGGGCCGCGCGGGCGACGAACCGGCCGCGACCGCCATCCCGGTCATCGAGGAGGAGCCCGGCGGTGGCAGCAGCACCTGCCCCGGCTCGGGCCTGTGCGTCGGGCCCCCGGGGACGCTGCTGGACAAGCTGGCGGCTGGCCTCGATGACAGACTCTTCCCGCCGCGCCTCGCCCAGCCCATCGCCACCGCTCCCACGCTGGCCGCCGCCGCGCCCACGTCTCCCGACCACAGCCCTGCCTAAGCCCTGCCTCCTGCACCCACCTCGTCAGCTTCTCCGGCGCCGCCCGGGACCCCTGCCACGGGACCCGCCTGGGGCGCGACGCCCCAGGGCGCGAGCGCTGGGGCCGCGGGGCCTCGCGCGCGCGCGCGCGCGCAGGTCTTCTGGCCGCCCCCACGTGCGCGTGCTCGCGTCCTCGTGACACCCTCGAGCTGCCTCTGGTGGGCACGCGCACACGGTCCCCGTTGGGCACTTAGCAGGTGCCCTGTGGCTTCCCAAAGCGCGAGGCTGCAGGGCCCTGGCTCGGCTGGAGGGGGCGTGGCAGGCTCTCATCTTCGGGCTCCCGGGGAGAACGTCCACCTGCCTTCCACCCTAGACAGCAGCCTCTGAGTGGTGGCGTCTCGGGCACAGAGCACCGGGAGGCGCTGGCGCAGGACCTGCTCCCTGGGGCAGGGGCGGGCGGTGCGGGGCGGCGCATGCGCAGGGCGCCCCTACCAGGACCAGTGGAGCCTCGAGGCGAGTCTGGGCTGCACGCGCTGAAGGCCTCCCCAGGGCGCACGCGCGGGCCCTCTAGGGCCCGGGGCTCCGGAGATCGGGGGGGCCGGCCGGCGCCGGCTCTGCAGCGCGCAGGTCGGGTGGAGGCCGCAGCCGCCAAACCCCTGAAGCTGTTTACCTCACTGCGGCATGTGCTCGCGGCAGTCTGCGCCCCCTCCGAGCAATAAACGACGCCTCGCCGCCACCCCCTCCCGCCGAGTTCCCACGCCCACCCAAAGCATGTGAGTGGGCCACCCGCCCGCCCCGCGGGTGCACCGTCCAAAGAGCAGCCAGAACTCTGTCATGTTTTAAGACACAAACCCCAAACGGCCAAGGTTTCAAGTTTCCCAAGCTTTATTTATTGCCAAAAGATGGGGCAGCCCTCGCCTGCGGCCGAGTCGCCCCGCCCCGCCCCTCCCCTCGGAGCTTCGTGCCGTCTGTGTACCATCCAGTGATGGGAGTTTCTTGTGTTTGTTTGTTTTCTGGTTGATTATAAATATTCGCTGCACACTCTTGCTTAGTTCGGGTTTTCTCTGGGGACCCAGGGGCACAGAGAACTTGCAAAGACGGTCAGGGTCCTGCGATCAGGCCCCCGGCTGCTGCACTGGGGAGCCGAGGGCCCCGGGGAGCTTTGGGGAGACCGGTCACCACCGAGGGGACTCCTGTCCAGCGTGGCCAAAGATAGACCCCCTCGGAAGCCCCAGTTCCCACCACCCGGCCACCTGCCAGCCGGCAAGACCTGCAGAGCCCAGCCTGCCCCCGGGGCCGTGAAGCCCACGAGAGGACCACCCAACAGTTCCCAAACACCCTTCACAACCAGCTCAAATCCACCTGCTTTATTTTTTCTTAGAAAAAGGGAAAGGAACCAACCAAACAACAAAGACAAGGCAGCCGCCTGGCTCCCTTGGGCTCTGGGCATGCATCTTGGTTGACGGCCCTGTTCTTCTACTGGCTCCGGCTGTGGCTGTGGTTCGTCCGAACACATCACTAGGTGTGGGAGGCGCTAACGTGGAGCAGAGTAAAAAGAAGTCAGGGGTGGGGCGAGGACCAGTAGTCTGAACGTAAAGTGCATGGCAGGGGCTTCCCGCGGGGCCCGCGTGCCGGCGCTCTCCCTCCTCCCGAGGCCCGGGGAGGGGGCTCAGCGCAGGGCTGCAAAGTCAGTGAGAGGCCGTGTTCACCGGCCATGAGGGGAAGGCCAGTCCCCAGTCCCTGCTGTCCCCCAGCCATGGCCCTCCAGGACCCCTGGATTCCTGAGGGGCAGTCGGCAAGGAGGGTGTGGTGGTGGCCTTTCTGGGCAGCAGACGTGGGCCGGCGGTCGGCGGGAAGACTGAGGACCTGGGCCGTGGCACCTGGATGAGACGGGCTGCAGACGGGAACAGATGGGTCACTCCTGGGCCGGCAAACGCATTCTGTATCTCAGGAGGCAGGGCCCACCCTGGGGCCCGCTGACAGGGTGGGGGAAACTGACACCTGGTCACACGGAGCTGTCAGGCGTCCAGAGAGACCAGGCAAGGTCGCACTGATCTGAAGGGCCACCCTGTAGTTCCCCCCCCCCCCGCCCACTGGGGTTAAGCACCACCCTCCACAGAGAGAGCCAGGCCTCCCTAAAGAAGCAGTTTTCAGCCTGCCTGGCTGGTTCTGATGCCGGCAGATAAGCACTCCAGGGCCACTTGAGGGGGGGGGTGGGGGCAGCACCCTGGGAGAGGGCACCCCGCCTGCACCCCGAGCAGACGATGGGCTCTCCTGCACCCCTGGGGCCTGATTCCCCTGCACATACACCTTCTTGGACTGGGGCAGGCAGGCAGGCAGGAGCAGGAAGAGGAAGTGGAGGAGGCCGAGCGGCCACCAGGATGACAGCCCGAGCCAAACCCAAGACGTCTCAACCTCCCACCCGGCCACCCGGCGCCTCACACACCTCTGGGCCGAGTCCAGCATCACCCAGGGCTGGCAGGACAGGCGGCTCCTGTGAGGGGCCCGCCTCCTGCTCGCAGGAGCTGCTGCCCAAGCCACCCCCCACCCCCGAGCCCCCGGCCAGGGTCCTAGAGCAAGTGAGTTCCTCTACCTCTGGCCCAGATGCCGGTGGCGGTGGACGAAGACCGACAGAACGGCGAAGGGCAGAACCGGCCCCGGTCAGCAGTGGTGGGCCGGTGCCTTCGGTGCGTCCCATCCCCCCCAGGTCCCCGAGGCGGCCTACCTGCGGGCGGCGACCCTCACTGCTGCTTGCAGGCCGACAGCCGGCGGATCTTGCTGCTGGCCGAGCAGGCCTTGCGGGTGGGGTTGGAGGCGGCGCTGGCCCGGCGCTCCACCTTCGACTTGGCGCTCAGCTGCGCCGACTCCGTGCCGTTCACGCACACGACTTTGGGCGGGCCCCGGCTCTGCCCGTTCTGACTAGCCTCCTCTTCTGGGACCTGTCCTAGGAGGGAGAAGGCGAGTGTGGGCTGATGGGGGCCCAAGACCAACACCCCCAGGGCCCCCCCAGCCCTCAGGCTACGTCTCCGCCTGCCTGGGCTTCGGTCCTCTCTGCCCCGCCGGGCTCCTCCACCGCCTGCCCCGCCTCGGCCCCTCCCGCAGGGCCCCTCATCCGGCTAGAGGGAGCCCACCGAGGTGGGGGCCCAGCCCACGCTCACCTGCCTGCTCAGGTTTGAGCCGGGTGTCTGCACCAGGTGGGCTGAGTGCTCACCATCCACCCCAGCACACGGGGAAGGGACCGGGGACCTGGGGCACAGGGCCCTGGGCTCGGCCTGTTCGCCCGTGCAGAGGCCACAGCAGGCTGGGCCCTCGGGGCTTGGGAGGGGCTGGGCTCAGGCCAGGTGTGCGACAGGCATCTCTCCCACGAACGCCAGCCTCGACTCCCCGTGCCGGGCACGGGAGGAAGAGATCAGGGCCCAGGGCCTGCCGGTCCCTACTCTCAACTGGGTGGCACCAGCCCTTGCTGGCCTGCGGGGAGCCATGGGCCTGGGGCCGCCTGCCTGAACTGTGGGGGCGGGGGAGGGGGAAGGCACATAGGCACTGACCAACCTGCCAGGGCCCAAATGGCTCATTCAGTGCACATGGAGAATCGGCCTGCTGCCCACAGTCCGCCCTCCTGCGACACAGGTGGAAAGCTGCCCACGGCTGCCGCCAGCCGACCTCTTCCCCAGCACAGAGCCCCCTCTGGGCCAAGAGTCCCACTGCCTGACAGCAGCTTTTGGAACATGGCATCTTAGGTCAGAGCTCCTCACTGCTGACAGGCTCCTGCTGAGGAAAGCCCTTGGGGGGGCCAGGAACCCTGCTCTGATGGAGGAGGGGCCATGGGGGGGCGGTGCGGGGGCAGCTCTGCACAGACCACCTGGAGCCCAGCCACCGGCACAGCAGCTGTGGCTGAGGCGGCACAGGACCCGGCCTCCCTGCCCTCAAGGGACTGGGGCACGGCCGGCAAGCACCCACTCCGCCCCAGCCCGAGGCCCGGCACCCAGCTGTCAGGGTGGGCGGCAGACCTCCACAGTGGGGACAGTCCGGGGAGACCGAGGCCAAGGGCCTCTGAGCAGAAGCACCCCACCGGGACTGAAGCGAGGAGGGATCTTGGCCCCAGCACAGCCCACCGCTGACCCACAAGAGGTCAGAGAAAACCCCACTGGTCCTGGAGCAGGACTGTGCTACTTCTGACACGGACGACATCGCCCGGCCAGGCGTGTGGCTCCAAGCCTGGAGCTGCCCTCGGGTGCGCCCTCCCCTACCCGTCAAAGGCAGCCTCCGGCCTCTCACACGGGCCAAAGGGCCAACATACACGGTCAGTATAGTCTGGCGAGGTTCTGGGGATTGGGCAGGGTCCTCACTCGGCCTTCCTGGGACAGCAGACTGTCTGCCAGCGAGGGCCCCTCACAAGTTCCTGACACAACACCCCAGCGACTCTGAGAGGAAGGACGCCTTGTTCTCACTCTCCACGGGAAACAGAAGCTCTGAAGGCCAGGGCTCCCAGAGCTAGGACTCCGTACACGTCACCTCCCGGGACTCCTGGAGCCCAGGACCCGGTAGGGAAACGGCTGAGCCAAAGCCACAGAAACTCAGGGTCCAGCAGGCGCCGGCTCTGAGATGACCCTGCGGCCGGCCACGACGGGCTGTCACGGAAACCCCAAGCACGCCCCCCACAGGAGTGGGACCCATGATCCCCGCCCCGGCTCTGGCAGGAAAATGGTGCTGGGCCCACGGCGTTACTGCCCAGTGGGGTCTCCCGGGGGCCCACCCACCACACAGGCCACCTCCACACGCCAATTCTTTCTACAATAGAATCCTCACTCCTGGCAAACGAGCCAGCACAAAGGGAGACCGGCATCACCCCCGCACGCACAGCGTGGCAAACCTTTATGACAGGAGCCGACAGGCTGGCCCCAGGACACGACAGAGCTGTGAGCGCTGTGGGGGGGGGGGGGGGGGGGGGGGGGGGGGGGGGGGGGTGGCGCTCGGGCAGCTGCGCAGGCTTAAGGAGGGAGGCAGGGGTGCCGAGGCCTGGCCTCTACGGCACTGGAGGGGGGAGCAGCGCTACGCTACGCCCCGAGCTGCTCTACGCCCCCGGCCTCAGCTTCCTCTCCAGAAAGGTCTGAACACTGGCTCCTCTGCGTGCCTCTCTCCTCTCTAAGCCCTGCCTCAGACGCCTCCTCGCCACCTGGGGGAAGCAAGGCGACACGCATCAGGGCTGGCGGCCGGGCACCAGGAGGGCCACTGGACCCTCTCGGGCCGTCGGAGGGGCTTTCCCCCATCTCTCACCGCCTGGCGGGACGCGGTCTGCACTCCCCAGGACACAGGAGGGTCCCCTCCGGGGATGTGAACCCTGCCACCGCGGGCAGGGGCCCCTGGGCCAGGCCGCGAAGCGGCCGCACTCACCGGGCACCGTGAAGTCCTGAGTGTAGATGATGTCGTCCTCGATATCGAACAGGTCCTCGTCCCCATTGTCGTCCGCACAGCCATGCAGATCCTCCAGGTAGGGCACCACCGTCATGCCTCGCCAGCGGTCCTTGCAGTCCGAGCTTGGCGGGATGGGCACGGGCTCCTCTGATGGCGGGTGCTTCTTCCGGAACCAGCTGTGGAAGTCACAGGTCAGGACAGTGCAGGGGCTCCCCCGCCCTCAACATGGGGCACCTCCCGACCTCAGGCCCAGCCTAAAAGCCAGGGGAAGAGAGCAGCCAGATAACCCAACCCCGCCCCCCCCCACTCCCACCACGTGCACCCCCCACTCTCTCTCACCGTGCACAGCCCCTGCATCTCAACCCCCGTACCCCCCTGCACTCCCACCACGCGTACCCCCCGTGCCCCCAGACCCACCCCCACCACCACGGCCGGCCCCACACCGGACACTCACCTGTGTTGTCTGATCTGCTGTATGGAGAACCTCCTGGCTGGCTCATATTCCAGCATCCCTGACAGACCAGCAGGGCGTGGGGAGTCAGTGCTGGGGACGTGGCCCCAGCCCCAGCCCGTGTCAGCCTGTGCCCAGAGGACACCCCCCAGGAGAAGGGGTGCGGGCATGTGTGAAGGGAGCCCCAGCTCGGTGCTCCAGGCACTCCCCCTCCCCCCCGGCCAGCCCCCCACAGGCCTGGCCTCCACCAGTAGGGCCGGCCCGGGCAACGGGGCCAACACGCAGAGTCCATAACTGCGAACACTGGGTGCGCACAGCCCCGGGCCCCACGAGGCTGCCGGCAGGAAGGCGGACACCAGAGCCGCCGGGGAGCAGGGCAGGCCCACCGCAGCGACGCAGAACCTGTCCGTGTGCTCAGGGAAGTCAAGCACGCAGGCCCACTCTCTGCTGGCCCCCGGCCGGCAAAAGGCAGGGGACGCTAGCGGTCAGCATTGCTAGCCAGGACCAGACGGACGGTCCCCGAGACGGCAGCCGGAGAGAATGGAGGCCAAGAGGGCGACGCGCTGTGGATGTTCGCACAAGGGTCTGGCGCTGGGGGGCAGGTCCCACCCCAGAGCCCGCAGCTTCCACATGGGGGTGGGGGTGGGGGGGGGAAACAGCTCGGAGAGCTCGGCACGTCACACACCCGGAGGACAGCTTTGTTCTCCAAACCGCACGGCGATTCGATCTGGAGAACTGGTCGGACCCCAGGCCTCAGGGCCCGGATGGTACTCTCCAGGCCTGGCTGCAGTGCAGGGGCATCTGCAGACCATGAGCCCTGGGGCCACCTCGGCCTTAGGGCAAATGCCTCGGAGGTGAGGGACCGGACAGACTACTGATGCCCTCTGCCATCTACCTAAGCTCCCCGATGGGGGCTATTTCAAGCGCTGATAAAAGTAAGGGCAGTAACGGACCAAGCAAAGGAAGCTTCCTTTAGAGAAAACGCCAACCAGCCGCTGCCTGTCAAGAGAAAGTGCGCCGTCTGCCACCTCAGCCGTGTCTGAAATGACCTTCGGTGGAAAAGAAAGCCCTCGCGGGGGGCGAGGGGAGGTGAGAGGGCCATGCTCTGGGCGCACTCGAGGACAAGGAGGGTGGACATCACAACCCTCCTCCAGAGTGCCCAGGAGCTTCCAGGGAGAACTGGGGACGGGGGGTGTGGTGGGGGGAGAAGGCCAGGTCTGAGCAGCAGGCGGGCTGGGCCACAGCGCGTACCGGGAACAGGGCAGAGCTGCTTCCCCCGTTCCCAGAACACCCTGGGCTGCGTGCTCAGCCGCCTTCGCGGGTCCTGGGGTGGCTGTCCGGGCAGGGCCCCAGAGGGAGGGGGGCGCCGCGCAGGCTGCCCAGCGCTTGGAGTTCGGCCGCCGCAGCCCCAGCCTCAGCCCCAGCCTCAATTTCATCTTAACGTAAACGTGAGCGCCGGCCTGCCTCAGTTAGCGGGAAACTCTCAAGAGCACGTGAAGTAACGTGAATCTACTCCTTCAACTGAAGTCACAGGAGGTCTAGAAACAACATCCAACGCGAGCGGAGGGTAAAGTCAGTTACACGCCTAAGGACTACAGGCAGAAACAGACTCCGAGGCGCTATCTCGGTGACAACTCTTAGGTACCACTCACACCTGAGGGGGTGCTCTGGATGAGCCAGATCATCACCCACCGGGCCCTGAAAACAAACATCCAGGAACCCCAGGAGGCCAGCTGTGGCAGCCCCGCCCCTTGCTGGGCGGAGGGGAGGTGCCACCCTGGCCAGGGCCCTGCGTCGGAGGCACAGCGCCCCCTGCTGCACAGCCTGGGACACGCAGCAGGAAGAAACCAGCGGCGGGGGGGGGCGGCTAGGGGGCCAGAAGAGGGTGGAACCAAGGCCCCAAGCAGGCAGTAGGACCCGAGGAAGTCAGCAATGCCCCTCCCAGCCTCAGCCTCAGCCTCAGCCTCCAGAGCTGATCCTGCCAGCCACTCTCCACTAACTGGGCCCATTCCTTGGGTGGGGTGGGGTGGGGTGGGGTGGGGGACAGGTCGGGCACGTGGGGCGTGGGGCTGCAGAGATGAAACCCAGCTCTCCAGAGGCCAGTGGTCTGTAGAAAACCCCCAGGACCCCCAACACCCGCTGGCAGCCCATTCCCGACACCTCCAGCCCCACAGGTGCCGTCCCGAGGGCCTCACCTCTCAGCAAGTCCGAGAGCGGGGGGCCGCAGTCACCCGGGATCGTGTAGTCTCCCTTCCCGATGTTCTCAAACAACTTGTAGATGTTGTCCCCCTCGAATGGGTACAGGCCTGTCGTGATGTTATAGCTTCGCCCCCAAGGGGAAGGAGAGAGGCCCGGTCAGTTGGGGCCTCTCCTGCAGCCCCAGCCTGGGACCAGCCTGGCACAGGAGCCTTAAACCACCCTCACCTGTAGGGCCTCACACTGGGTGACGGGAATGCTCTGGAATAGGTGGTGGTGGTGGCGGCAGCACCACTCTGAAAACACCAGAAACCACTGCACTGGACCCCTTAAAAGGGTGGCTCTGACAGCGCAGGAGTGATCTCTCAACAAAATAAAACGAAACAGGGGAGCCCGGGGGGGCTCAGTCGTTTAAAGGTCCCACTCCTGATTTTGGCTCAGGTCGTGGTCTCACGGTTCGGGGGACTGAGCGCCGCGTCAGGCTTTGCACTGACAGTGGGGGCCTGCTTGGGACTCGCTCTTTCCCTCGCTCTCTCTCTCTCCCTCTGCCCCTCCGCTCTCACTCCCTCAAAAACAGATAAATACTTAAAAAACAAAAATAAAACGAAATGAAACACCCATGTCGGCCAGCAGCCGCCCTGCAAGAGGCAGGAGGGAATGTTCTGGAAAGTTAGGGCCTGCCCTCTGTGGCAGGCACCACGCTGACCGCTGCTCACGCAGAAGTGCTCGGGGATGTGCCCCGAGGGACGGACGAGCAGAACTGGGGGACACGGTCTGAGACTCCTCCGGGGTGACGGCGTAGAGTCAGGACAGAAACACTTGCTTCGAGACAACAGCAGTGGCCCTGGGGTGTGAACTGGGGCAAACGTACCAGTACAAGCCCTCACAACCGAGGAGGAAGGCCCGGCCGTGTGCACCCCCACACGGCTAATCCCGAGGACCCCGCAAGGCGGGGCGCGGCCCCCTCTGCTCCTACCCACAGGGGGCTTCTCATCTCGGCACACGGTTTCTCTGGCACTCTGGCCACCCGGCACAGCCCGGGAACGGTGTCTGGGGGACACGCTAGGAGGGGCGGTTCTAGAGGCCTGAAGCCCAAACAGGCCTGAGTCCTTGGTGGGCACAGGAGGGGCCCCTGGCGGGCGTGAAGCAGGGGGACCGAGGCCCACGGGCACTTACAGAGTAACCCCAGCCGACCAGATGTCCACCTTAAAGCCAGAGAAGGTGTCCAGGCCGTTGGCGATCTCAGGGGGCTGGAACGCTGGGGAGCCCTGGCTCGTCCGGCACGTGTCGTCCTCGGCAAAGGGGTGCAGGGCCTGCAGCATCGCCAGGTGGGCCTCAGGGAGCAGCCCCCGCGGGAGCGCCCCCTCCCGCCCCCCCCGGGGCGCCAAGGGAGGCGCACCAACCTCGGCCACACCCAGGTCGGAGATCTTGAGGGTGCCACCCGTGGTGAGCAGCAGGTTGCCTGGCTTGATGTCCTTGTGCACAATGCCCTGGCTGTGCAGGTACTCCAGGCCGTCCACCAGCTGGCAGAAGTACCTGGGGGGACATGACTTCTGTGACCTGCCCCACCAGGAACCTCGATCCTGCCCCCCGGGTCCCCCTCGGCACCGGGAGTGACCCCGCGGCACCAGAGACATCGGGGCCGCGCAAACAGAAAGGACGGGACGGGTGGCCCAGCAGGGAACCAGAGGGACGCAGACCAATCTGAGCCATTCCTGGTCCCACCTGGGGAAGGCAAGGAGGACTCCCTGGCCCCCGCTGCCGCCCCACTCCAGGCAGCCCGTCTCTGCGCTCCCCATCGGCCCGAGGGCCGTGCTGTGTCCCCACAATCACTCTGCCTGGACGTGACCACATGGCCCTAAAGGGGCCCCTTGGGGCCAGGGACCCAGGCTCACTCTGCCAGCTTCCGGTTCCCTCACGACACAGGCCGGCAGCGGGGCTGGAGCGGTGTGACTCCCCAGGAGGGGCAGCTGACCCGTGGCGGTTCGGGTCACTGTCCTCGGCCTTTCAAGGACCAGGAGGTCCCAGAGTCTCAGGCAGCAAGCCCACCAGGGTCGGCGGACACAGCCGCTGGGCCGGGCAGGCTGCAAACTGGGCCCCCGAAGCTGGGCTTTAAAACACACTGGAGCGTTCATCTCGCTGGTGATCAGAAAAACTCATCTGGACGCGGGATGGGCCCGAGTGTGGGTGACCCCACGGGAGGGGGGAGCCACGGGCCCCCGCGGCAAGCACTCACCCATGGGCCTGGCACACGGGGAAGCGCTTCTCGGGCACGCTGTCCAGCATCTCCTGCATGCCGCACACGCAGTACTCCATCACCATATACGTGCGGGGCTAAGGAAACCATGGGCTGACAGGGACCCCCACCCCAGGCAGGGCCTGCCCCCTGGGAACAGCCAGCCAGACGCTCGCGGGAAGGGTTTGGGGGAGAAGACCGCAACCGCGCCTGATGGCCGCATCGACAGAGACAAGCGGTAGTGCGCCGAGACCACGACAAAGACCAGAGAGATTACAGAGCCCGTAGGGCGCCTCTGCCCCTCCGCTGACCTCCCCAGGGTCAACTTGTAGAGGTCTGTGGTCGCCTAGTCTGGGCTCAGTCCTCCGGCCCACGAGAAGCTCTCAACACCCTGAGGGGCTCCCGCCTCACCCCTAGCCCCACAGGAAGCCCCACACCAAGAAGAGACAAAGCTTGCGGGGGCAGGAGGGAGGGGCGGGGTGGGCAGAGGGGAGGGAAGCCGGGGGGCCGCCAGGCCAGGCCGGAAGCGGCTGTGTCTCAGGCCAGCAGGAGAGAAGGGCAAGGCCCCCGCCACATCTCCCCCAGAGGTGGCCCCGAGTGCACCATGCTGGAGAGGAGCCATGTGCTGGAAAGCCCACCACTCTGTGCCCAGCACGTCAGTGACAGACGCCTTTGTGGAAAGACCTCAGTCCCTTGGCTAGACCTGACCCCCCCCCCCCGCCCCCTAGAGCTGGAGCCGGCGGGGGCCACACCGCCCTGAAGACACAGGGCCCGCCCCAGAGAGAAAAGGGCAGAGCCAAGGACCGTCCCAGTGAAGCGCCCCTGCAGTGACACTCCCCGCCCCACCCCACGTTCTACCCTAAACAGAGCGGCCAAACAGAGCGGCCGTGCAGGTCAAGGTGCGGCCAGAAAGCCAGACGCGAGGAGAGCGCCCTCCACGAGGCCCCCCGGACTTAGGGGTGGGGCCTGGGACCCCGTACTCCCAGCCCAGGGCACAGAGCGAAGGGAGGGCACAGCACCCACACAAGCGAAGATCGGAAGACACCCTGCGGACCTGGCAGGCGGCACTAGCCGGACAAGGCCGCCCTCGGGCTGCTGCTGCCTCGGCAGACCCCCGGGGTTTGCCAGCCCACCACCCAGGGTCACCGAGGGAGGTTTGGGGTCCCCAGGCCCTACAACTCCGCTCGACCCTGCAGCCCTGACCCGGCGCTCGCAGAGGGGCCGGGCTACCAGAAGGATATATTTTCTGCTTCTCTTCGTTGTACAACACGTCCACCAGCTGGATGACGTTTTTGTGCCGCAACCTCCTCAGAAGTTGGATTTCCCTGAAGACACAAAACAGAGGTGTCAGCGGAGCCGCCAGCGAGAACGGCTCAGAACACCCTGCTCCCTGCTGCGCTCGCTCGGGAAGGAGAGCGCTTGCCCTGGGGGCGGCGTGCAGGGGTGCAGGGGTGCAGGGGCCGCAGGCTCTGAGGCGGCACTGAGCAGCCACCACGTGCAGGAGCCGGGGCTCGGTTACACGGCAAGGCCAGGCTGTGACTGTCCCCGCCGCCCCGCATCCCTTCCGCGCCTCTTGGCGGGGACGAAGCCCCAGGCGGTGCGCCACGGCTGGAACGTGCCCGCAAGGCCCCCTCGCTCTCCCTGGCGCCCCGCAGCCCCTGGGGAAGGGCAGAGAGCCCAGGAGACCTCCGCGGCTCCCGTCCGGGCACAGGCCCCACCAGAGTGGACGCCACGGCCCACCCGGCGCCACGCACGCCCCCAGCCCGTGCCCAGTGCTGCCCGCTCTGCGGACGGCCCCCCGACGCCTCACCTCTCCGGGGTCTGAACAGGGGAGGGGCCCTCACAGCTGGCAGGTACAGGGGGAGCGGTCAGAAGCCCCTTGGGAGGCCGCCGGCCAGCAGCCGAACCCACGGTGCCACTCCAGGTGCGTGCCGTGCCCGCGAGAACTGAAAACACGTCCACACAGAAGGCTGCACCTGCCTGGCCAGGGCAGCGCCGGCCACTCAAACCTCCAAGCTGGAACCACCCCAGTGCCCACCACACACGCGTATGTCCACAGACGACTGTGCCCACCACGCACGTCCCCCCACCCCAGGTGCATCCACCGCGCACACGCACATCGCTCAGCCGCGAGCAGGAGCGAGGCGCCCACCCCCGCCACCCCCAGGACGGACCCCGGACACACGACGCTCAGGGAGGGAACCCGACACGAGAGGCCACGCGGGGTGTGAGTCCACGTGTGTGAAACGTCCAGAATGGGCCCGACCACGGACAGGAGGGGGGCTCGTGGGGGCTGGGGGAGGGGCAGGGAGTGACTGCTGATGGGGACCTTTAGGTTGCTTTAGGGTTGCTCTAGGGATGACGAGCTAGATAAGCGCGTGGCGGGTGCCCATTCCCACGAATACGTTAAATGCCATCAAACCGTATGGAAAGTCTAGGAAGTCCTCGGCAGAAAGCTCAGGCATGGGCTGGAGAACCCACCGTCCTCACAGACCCAGGCCCCGCCGCCACCTCCAGGGGGCCTCTCCTGACAACCCCCCCCTCCCCAGGGCAGGTCCTCTGCGGTGTGATGCCTGGAACCACCCAGGGCCCTGGACTTGGCGTGTGTGCACAGCCCCGCACCCCAGACCGGAGACCCCAGACCCAGAGGCCATCGCCTCACAGAACAAAGCACAGGCTTGCAGGCACTTCCCCCACAAACTCACCGACCAAACCCTGTCCCCACGTCCCCACCCCCCCACCCCTCCACCCCCCCGCAGAGTTCTGGGCTCAAGGAGATCTCTACCCTCGGTTTCCTGTTTTTCCACAGTATCCCTATCCGTCTGACTACTGAGGCCCAGGGATACTGCACATATAGAAATACACACACTGAGTGGGAGGGAGAGGGGGTGACAAGCAGAAGCCGGGGCGGCCCTGCTTGTACCCTCTGAGCCCTGGGGACTTACTCTGCCGTCCCTCATGAGCAGAGATCAGAATCCCTTTTTATCCCCCCAAATAATTAACGCAGGGTGTCTCCCCCTCGGCACTTCTAACATTCTGGGCAGGTCGCTCTCGAGTGGGGGCGTCCTGGGCCCTAGTTCAGTAGTATCCCCGCCTCCCCCCCCCCCCCCCCCCCCGCCACTCCTGACAGCCACAGACGTCCCCAGACAGGGCCCACTGTCCTCTGGGGGTGGGCGGTGTCAGGTGAGGGACGGTACCCTGCTGTAAAGGATCAAGGTCCGTGACGAGCAGGAGCGGAACCTCAGGCCACCCCTATCCTCGCCTCTGAGCCCCCCTGGGCCAGCACAGGGCATCCCCTGGAACTCAGGCCTCATCTCCCTCCCTCAGCCCTTCCTCCACCCCCTCCCCCCTCAAACCATCCCACTCCCCTGCCTGTCCCAGCCCTGCTCCGTGTGTCCAGAGGGACTCTCCGCCCACTGGCCCATCACTCTCCATTTCTACCCAACAGGCACGGGGTGGCAGCAAATACCCATTTATGGGGGGGCGGCCGACCATCAGCCCCCAGCCACCAGCACAGCGGTGCGCGGCCCGGGAGACAACCGTGCCAAAACGGGAAGGATGTGCAGTCTTGTCTACACCTGCACAAAACCCCACTGGCAGGACACAGGCCAGCAGACCCCTCTGGGGTCACCGCCAGGTGCTGCCTGGACTCCTGTCAAGGGGTCGGCAGCCCAGGTGAGACAGCCCCAGAGGAGAAGGGCATCCGTGCACGGCGGGAGCGAAGTTAGCAAGCCCTGCATGCCCGGTGGGGACCGACGGGGTCAGGCCCAGAGACAGACCCCAACTCCTCCAAGCTCTCGCTTCCTGGGACCGCACACAGGACTGGGAACAATCAGCACGGACCACAGCACCGGAATGAGATTCTCCAACACATCGGGATATCTCCGGTCAGCTGCCTTCACTATAGCCTGGTGAGTCAAATGCTTCCTCGACCTGTCCGTGCCACCCTCTTGGCCCTGGAAACTTCCTCAGGGCCCTCTTCATCCAAAGCGATCGCTTCAGGTACCTGCAACGTAACTAAAATGCATGTGTTAATGGGGCACCTGGCTGGATCGGCCGGTGGAGTGTGTGACCCTTGATCTCAAGGTTGTGAGTTTGAGCCCCGTGTTGGGTGTGGCGCCTACTTAAAAATAAATAAAATAAAAATAAAACCCATGTGTTGAGACCAGGAGGCCTTTCCTTCATCCAGCCAAATGGCGGCCACCTGTAGGGGATGTGGGGCAGCAGGACCGCAGCATCTACAGCAGAGCTCCACGCAGAGGCAGGGGGACAGAGCCTGGGACCGCACTTCTAATCCCACACTGAGAGTCAAGGGGCCCCGGGAAAGCCCACCCCAGGTCCTCACTGATAGGAAGGCTATCACTGTCTCTGCACTGTCCTCGCGTGCCTCCCCCTCCACCCACTGCCATCAGGATGAAACCACCACCCAATGTCCATCCTCTACAAGATGGTCACAGCACCAGCTCTGAACCAAACCAGAGGGCAGCACCCTTGCCTCTGCAGTGAAACAGCTCAACACTCCTACTCCGACGTCCAAAAAGTTTGTTCTTAAAAATAAAAGTCCACACTCTGACATAAAGAGGCGGATCCACCGTGGGCATGCTGGGCCGTCCACTTGTTTGTTTGGTTCACTGTGATCAAAGCACCGTGAGTGAGCACTCGAGTCAGTCACCTTATCTCTACCAGGAAAGGACGGACACAATATCAGGCAGTCCCCGAACAGAAGGGGCAGTCCCCGAACACAGCTGGCAGCGGCCAGAGCTCCAGGACAGAGAGTGCAGGAGGAGGGCACGCCAAGCCATCTGCCCAGGGACCCCCGAGCGTCCTGGGGGCTCCTATCACCTCTGTACTTTCCGTGTCCCCTACAGGTTACATCGTGGGTCTAAACACAAGGAAAAACAATGTGTAAAGAAAAAGGAAAGGCGAGGAGCTCAGCCCGGATGCAGGAAGTGG